GTAATGCAATCATTAGCCAAATATACTATCAATAAAATCCTGGGTCACAAGTACTCACCTTAATATTTAAAAAAAAAGATAATTTGCAGTTGTTTATTTAGTAAGTAGTTGTGACTTTACAATAGTTCAAATATTGCAAATTTCACTATTACTACTACTTTCTCTTTTTTCTTCTCTATACTAAAAGAGTACATCTATATATAAGTTTTAAGTATAAAGCAGAAGACAGATATTAAGTAATAATAAAAGTTTTTTCTTATTAAATATTTTTAATATGAGCTTGTTTCAGATATCAAAAGTGATATCAAGTTTAAGAGACCTGGCTTGTATACTATACTAAAACAAGCAAGTTATAAAATAGACACAAAAGTTGTAGTTGTTTACAGAAACAGAATATTAATTTATATATGATCTTATTAAATATGTTTATAAACTTAATAATGCAAACTCATAATTCTCTTATGACATCTCTAATAATGAAACTGAACTCTGTCAAGACATTCTTACTATTAACATTGTTTTTGTTTGTTAGATATAAAAAAAATAAGTAGCAAGGTTTGTTTAGAATTTATTTATTTTTTATTTATATAATAATATTAATTAATTAATAATTTACACTGTGTAAATATCAACAAGAATAAAAATTAATTCATTATTCAAAATATTAAAAAAAGACCAATTTAACTTAATCTTTAAAGATTAAAATATATCTAAATTCTTTACAAAAAATATTATTAAAATAATGAATAAGTTGTGTAAGATATTTTGTTTTTTATTATTATTTGCTTTAGAATTATTGTATTTTTTTAATTTTTATTTACTGTATATAGGTTAGTTTACAATATAGTTGTTGCAAATTTCAATTATAGTTATTTATCAACTTATTAATTTTAATTTTGATTTTTTCTTATACTCAAAATTTTATATATTTATAAATAGAATTTTATAAAAGACTGCCTATATGAAATACTTGATTATGCTATTATGTATGTTATTCAAGTTTAGGATAAAATATATTATAAATATTATTAAAAGAATTATAATTAGCAGAATTTAAAAAGAAAAGTCTTGATAGATTTTAAGTTAATATTTAATAAGAAATTAGAATATTAAATATTTGTTTAGATATATAATATATTAGATCAATGTACAAAAATATTGAATAACACTTAAACTAAGATGTAGTGACTTAGTGAAGTGAATAAGTTGTCATGCTTCCAAGTAGTAGGTTGTAAGTTCAAAACCCACCAACAGTGAATTTGAATAATCACCTATATAATATATAAATAGTATTACAATGATGACATTCTGTTAATCAGTTGGGATAGGATACCTGTAACTATAGTCACACCAGCATGACTAGCAGGTCTGGGGCATTTGTGTAACCTGTTTTACAGAGGAATACAAACTAGTACTGAGTGGTAGAAACCTAAAATAAGTCCTCAGGCTGTATAAATCTGTAGAACTGGGAAGCCAAAATCCACTTGGAAATTCTGAGCAGAGAGGTAACATGAATCTTCAATGGTACTACTGTAAAGACTAGACCTAGGAAATAGATACCAATGTGAAGGATTCGGGTGAACAAGAACCTCGAGTAAGAGTATTACCAATCAGGCTGCCAGATTTTGGATCAGAAGAAAAGAATATTAGACTAGCCTCAATATACCAAGAACAGGTCATAGTTCTTCTAAACTATTTGAATTAGAAGTTTACATTTAAAGTAGAAGTATACTAAAAGTACTAGAGATATGCTGTAAAGTCAATACTGAGGTCTGGGTAAACTCTGTAAAGATAATCTGTATTAGTGTTCTAAATGTGAATAGATAGTTAATAATAAGAAACCTCTTGCACTTTACTGGCAAGTAATATATTTTGAAATGTGTAACAGTCTAGAAACCAGTACAAAAAAAGTAGGTAACCATACTGCTCAGATAGTATACCAGTTAGATATATACAGGAGATAAGTTGGTGATTCCAATATGACAGGACAGATGATCAGAGAGTTTAAATGAATAATCTTCTAGTAGGTTATAACTATGACATTTAATATAGAACCTTAAGGCAGACTACTTAAATAGGCAACCAAAAGTTGCATACATAACTAGCTGTACTCTTATCTCTATAAAAATAGTTGTAATAGCTAACTCAATGTAAGTCAATAAAGTATTACCACAAGTATAACCTTTAACAAAAAAAAAATAACATTTAAACTTCTATTATTAAGCATTCTTTTCTTATTTACAGCTATTGATTCTTTTTTTTTTTATTATTACAAATAAAAATATTAAAATTTGTAATAATATCCAAATTGCTAAAAATCTTAATATCGTTGTTATTAAGACTAATGTTTATACTGGTTGGTCTTGGTATTCTTTATTCAAGAATTGATTAACTTAGATATTAATTGTGTATTTTGTTTATCTATCTTTAAATTATTTTATTTTTCAGTATATTGTATCTTTTTTTATTTGTTCTTTTGTTGTATAACTGTCTTATTATTTTTTAATTATTTATATTTTATATAACTACTAATTCTCTTTTTAAAAAAAGAAACTCAGTAAAAAGAGCTTAGACTCACCTATGATGTCACATCTGAAATCTTGTTAAAAAATGTCACAAAAGAATTGTTTTATGATTTTTTACTAATTTTGATGTTATCATTATACTACCTTTCAATGAATTTGCTAAAAATGAATCACAAAATGCTTACCTGGTCTCATGATTGATTTTATAAACATCTTATTTTCAAGGCTGAAGAATTGGATAAAAAAGTAATCATCCAGAATGAAGCTTACAAAAGCAAAACCTGCAAGTAATCTAGCTGCATATTATTCTTTCTTCTTTATCTTTTTTATTACCTCTAATGCCTTATCTGTTATTGATTTTATTCAGTTGTGGATTTATCAAACACAATTTGGGTGAAAGCAAGATGTTCAGGTGTAATAAATGTGGAGTCGTGATTGATAGAGATTTTAATGGCACCCGGGAATTTTTCTCCGGGCTTTGCTTGATGGGACTGTTTGTATATACTGATCTCACTATATACACGCACCAATTGATTATTTTATATATAGTAATTAACTATAGATGTATATTAATGATCGATTCAATCCATCCGAAAAGGCTTCATCTGTATAAGAACAGATGGACCAATGAGTCAGTGCTTATATAAATTTTATTTATATCTACATAAAAATAATTTAACTTAACGATTTCTCAAAAGTAAGATAATCACCGATCGATGCACTAAGTAAAATTTTCAGCATGCTCGAAAACCTTCCCCAAACCTCTAATTTAAACTTTAAAAATTTTCGTAATTTTACATAATTCTATATGAGTGCTGCAGAGCGAAAAGCTGGAAGTGAATATTTAAGTTTTCATCATGGCGAGTTTAACCCATTTAGTCTTGTGAATTCTGATTAATCATATATATAATCATTGTCCTAGTCGTTTAGTAAAATTTCGTACGAATGTATTGTTACTGTTACTGAACTATCAAAGCATTGTTTATCAGTACGTAATATCGAAGTTCTTCAGGGGCCAAATCGTCATGATGAGAACTTAAATATTCACATCCAGTTTTTCGCTCTGCAGCACTCATATAGAAAGATATATAATAACTATGTAAATCTATATTGGGTTTATAAAGTTTTACATAGATCTATGTAAAAATGTACTTGCTGATGTAGTTGGAGTAAAATTTTCTTGAACATTAACCTAAATAAAATACGGTATGATATTAATTCTATGAATCGTTTAATAGTTAAGTTATCCACCAATGATTTCAAGATAAATCACAAATAAAAGGATAAAAGACGAAATGTACCTAATTAATAATTAATTCTTTACAGGTCATTACAAAAACTATTCATGTGAATATGTTTTATAATGTTTATAGTCTATTAAATATGTTAGGTTGAAATTGAGATAATTTGCTTTAATTTTTCAAATTATTTTGACTCAATGTAAATGTTTCGCTAAGGGTCTTAATTTACGTGTATTATACAGTGATGAAAAAGCCACAGTAGGAGAATCTACAATTAAATCATGTGTAACAAGGTCCAGAAGAGCAAATCATCTATATATATCTATATATACAGATATATATATATATATCGATATTGCAGTTTGTCATATTAAATATTACCTTTGCTATTATTTCTATTTAACGAAATCGGTCAGTGTTCCTTAATTAAATTCTTTTCTAAATCTTCAGAATAAATCTTGTCTTGCGATAATAGTAAAGTTTGTAAGACGTTCCTTCGTGTTTAATTCCAGAGTTCCAGGTTCGTCAGCTTAAATTAGACCATGTTTTTCAATAATAATTAATAGAATTTCTTTTTTTCATAGAAAATTTAACTTCCAAAAAAGGCTAGAAATAACGATATTTAAAAAACATACTCTGGATACACATATCCTATCGAGATAAATAATGATGCTTTTGTCATTACGAAAAGCTATTTTAGTTGCCATCCTTTTCCAATTATCATTTTCTTCACCGGTTTCGACTGATAGTTTACGAAAAGTAGGTATGTTCTGTCGTGGACATAAAATTTTAATTAAAATCAATCATTTCTTGGACAAATTATCATATAAAAAGTAAAACAATTGTTCTAGCCTCCGATTTTGGAATTCAAAAACGAGCTCGTGTAATTCTAAAATGTCTTGAACATTAAGCAGTCGATAAGATATCCATTTAAAGCTTGAATAAACTAGACAATTTAAGTTCTATGAACTTCCAGAATTGTAAATGTTTCTATAATCACGTGATATGCTAATCCTTGTGAAAATTATGTGATTAGACTGAAAGTCCCAAAAATTCTGGGCATTCAGTAACTATATATCGATATTGCAAAATTATCTAATAAAATTTTGAATGACCTGGAGATAAAATTATAAATATCCCAGCTGGCCAAGATTCCTATCTAGTTGACACTTATTATTGCATTTTTTTTTGTAATTTTATTAATATTATATAACATCAGCATCGTCGTCTTTGCAATTTGGAGCTGCATCTACAATTAACAGTACTGGCGATGTACCTTCTATACCTCCTTTATCAACGACTATTCCTCACGGGCCAACTGTAACGAGCCTAACGAATTCAACAGCTATAAGTGGTAAAAATGATACAAGAAATTATTCAACAGCTATAAGTGATAAAAATGATACAATAAGAAATAATTCAACAGATATAAATGGTAAAAATGATACGACAGGAAATGATACTTTACCATACATTGATCCATCGACACCTCCAGTGACCATTACAATCACTACTCCTGCTCCTGCAAGGAATCTTTTATTTAAGATAGGGGCGAATATCACTTTTGCTTGGAAATATTCTGCAAATTTTTCCATTAAACCAAAATATATTAACGTTCTCGCTCAGCCATCTGTAAATTCGGAACAATATTTTACAATTATTGCTAATGCTTCTGGAACTATCACTTCTGCAATTTGGAATACAGCAGAGGAAACATCTTTACCGGTGACTAAATATAAATTATACATATTTGATGAACGAGGAAAAGACGCTAGTATATCACCTGGTAGACTGTGGCCATTTTCTGGTCTCTTTTTCTCATTATATCAACCACAGGATCGCACAGACATTTCACGTAAGTAAATATGATTATTTTTTTATTTTTATTCGTACCCAATTTTATTTTGATTCGTATGTACCACATAAAATTTTTTAAAGTTTTTAAGCAAATATATTTCGACAACTACCTAACTAATTCGACAAAGATATCTTTTTCATGACCAAATAGTTATAGCACAATACTAAAATTTATAAGTCACAATAGGTCATAGGTTATAAACATGCTGGTAAAATTAATTTCCCAATCCAACACCAATTTCACCTATAGTAGTGACACTCTGGCTTAATTTCACCAGCATATTTAGTCATAATAGGTTATAGGGTACTGATTACTAGAGGTATAAGTAACAAATTTTGGGTACGAATAACAATTATCGCTACACACATATTTAATAATATATTTTAATTCATTGTATATATTCAGAATTTACTTGTCGTGGTGTGTGTACTTCATCAAATTCTTCACCCTTCTTACATGTATCATTTATTATTACAATCTATTGTGTGACATTATTGTCAATTATCATATTTAATTGTAGCTTAAGCTAAAAATATATAAATTAATTTATAGAAATATATTCACAGATAGATTTGTTCTTAATATATAATGGTGTTCGGTTTTTTCTATTGGTTATATTGTTATTGAAAAGTACAATCATACAAAAATTATACTATATTTAAGTACAATAGAAAAACGTACGAATCGAGCAATTGCTAATACTAAGTTTTATAATTTATATAATATACCGTATTTTCCCCATAATAAACTATCAGTGTTATTATGCCCAATCGTTTTCAATTTTATTGGTCATATGTCCAATTAATTTGAAAACAATTGGACATAGTAACCATCACAACCCTGCAAACTATTATATAATTTATAATTGGCATTATATATAGTCAGACCTCTATAATTGCACTCTATAAATGCACGCCCTGCCATGGTCCCAAGTATATAGGAACATAGTAAAAATTCTCTCTATAAATGCACACCCACCCTAAATGAAAATTTTCCTATGGTTCCGAGGAGGGTACAATTATAGAGGTCTGACTGTAACAAAGTCAAAATTTTACTAAGTAAATTGATTTCTATTCATTAAGTAAAGTTGTTAGAAAAATCAAAATATATATGGTTTAAAATTTTCATTAAGATTTGAAATTTTTTTATTAATATATTTTGTGAGTGAATCTTGTCGCTGGCGGTGACACGTGACCCCAATAATGTCACAAGATCAGGGAAACGTTAATGTAACCCGAAAACGAAGAAAAAAGTAGAAATTTTCAACAGCTCAAAAATTCACCTACAAAACCACCTTTAGTATTCTAATTAAAAAATTTCTTGCAAAGGTTTACTATATCTTATGTCTTATTTCAACTCTTACTCACAATAATTAACTTTGGCGTTTGTGATTGGCCAATTGCGACAGTCACTGTGCCACCGCCGGCGACAAGTTTTTTTCAATTTTTATATTCTATATTTAATAAAAATTAATGTTTTTAAAAATTTATATGTATTAAAAAAAAAAATTAAAAGTTAAATAATAAAAGTTATCTAATTTATATATAAGATAGCTGCGCGCGAAACCAGGAACGGGAGACGTGAGTATCGGTATTGCATTTAGTAAATATATCGGTTGTGCACTATTAGGAATGTCACGCGCATACAGCAGAGACCGTTAATGTTGCACATATATTAAAACTGGTGAGGGATTATATCCATCACAATTGAATCCAGCATAAATAATTTAATTTGTGATTGTTCACAGGCGAGA